AAGCTGCAATGATGACCTAACTGTCAAAAAGGACCAATGTTTAGTACGATCATTTGCAGATTCCAAATTGTGAGTAACATTGAAAAGTATCTTTGACATTTAAGACCCCATGAGGTCAAAATGATGTTTGTTACCTTTATTCCATGTCTGTTAGCTTTGCTTATTAAGCCATTTTACAGGATTTTTAATGTTGATATTTTGCTTATAAAGTGATATGAATTTTTTGTTTAATAAGAAGAAATGGAAATATTTTTGGTCTATCTCTGATTTCTCACTGTTTGTGTTCTGCAGTCACACAGTGGCACGCAAAGATGTTCAGGAAGTAAACATTGGCACCCTCTCCAAACCTGAGTGCTCAAACAGGAAAGGTTCGAGACCCAAGATCAGCTGACCCTTTATTGACTTGAATGTTTCCAGGTCAGAGAATGGTTTCTTATGCTCTCTTTCTTGTTCTTTTTTGCCAGGGTTTGAAGCAGCACATCACTTTCTACAGGCCAGACAGGTCCCTGACAACTGGAAAGTAAACTTGAGTGAGATTCTTGAATCCTCTAGCAGTGATGAAGAAGACGATGATGAGGATGGTGAAGGCAAAAAGGGCGAAGAGGAGGAGAAGGAGCCAGAACCAGAGGAAGTAAGACTCCAGTATTACTTTGTAATTTCCATTTCTTTATCTTGAAATTAGTTTTCTTTCAAAAGTTACAATTATTTGTCAAATGATGAAAAGATTTTGGTGTGCTGCTGATGTATTCAGTGGTGTTGGAAAATTGCAGCCTTGTCTTTCAAACTTGTGAACTGGTTATTTTTTCCTCCTTTTTGACTCAGTGTTTCCATTTATGCTCTTGCTTGGACCCTTGTTTCTTGGGTTCAGTGATTGGCATGTAGTTTTGTAGTGATTGTTCTGATTAAATGGGTTGCCAGAGCTGCGCACTGAAGCAATATGAGGCCATTTATGACCAGTATCGATTGAGAGAATCCCAGTGTTGGCATTTATGTTGATTTGTGAAGACATTCCCGCGGCCCTTTACATCTTATGCTCTCGTACACCTTGATTAAGTCCACTGAATGGTCTCAGCATGTGGGAAAGCCCCCAGGCTCTGGAC